GCTACCTTTCCTTCAACTCCAGAACCAAATACAATATCTTGTTCTTCTGATACAATATCAGTGACTTTCGGTGTAGTGGAAACATCGACAAAAGCTGAAGATTCTGGTTTTAAAGATGTTAAAAATTTTTCTATAGCATCAGTGTTTTGTTGTACTGTGATGGCCTTAGCAGTAGTTGATGCTACTTCAACAGGTCTTGCAGTGGTTGTAAAAACATCAATTACTTGCATAGGCTTGTCAGATTTAAATTTTGTTTCATTTGCAGGTGATATAATAGTTTTGTCGACACCAGAGCCCAATTCATAAACTAACTCTTGAGACACGGTTACTTTCCTTGGAGAAATGGTGGTATGAGCAATACTATCTGACAATATTGATTCTGATGTCTCCTTATCTGTTTTCACCACAGCTACAGATTCACCGGTTGTCATCTGAACTATGTTGGGTTGTTGCATTGGTGTAACTGACTGTGTCGTTGCACTAATTTTTTCTCCTTCTACTATAGGGTCACTAGTTGTTGCTAAATCAATTGGTTTTACAGATTGTTCGTCCACATCAGTTTTAATTGGCATCGGTGTTGTTGTCTTAGCTTCAATAACTTCAACAATTGGTGTCGATTTTTCAGCCTCTGTTTTCCATGTAATATGTACTTCTACTGTTGTATCTGGTTTTATTGTGGTGAGTTCTTTATCCATTTTATCAATGTTTTTCGGAGCCTGTGTTTTGTCGTCTTTAATTGATTTGACATCTGTTAGATGCTTCTGTGTAAATCCATCAATAACATCTACTTCTGGTGTGTGTTTGTACACTTTGCTTGGAATTGGTGTTGGTTTAAATGTGCTCATAAAACCTGGTACTTTTTCTGATGTTACCTTTCCTTCAACTCCAGAACCAAATACAATATCTTGTTTTTCTGATACAATATCAGTGACTTTCGGCGTAGTGGAAACATCGACAAAAGCTGAAGATTCTGGTTTTAAAGATGTTAATAATTTTTCTAAAGCATCAGTGTTTTGTTGTACAGTGATGGCCTTAGCAGTAGTTGATGCTACTTCAACAGATCTTGCAGTGGTTGGAAAAACATCAGTTACTTGAATAGGTTTGTCAGATTTAAATTTTGTTTCATTTGTAGGTGATATAATAGTTTTGTCAACACCGGAGCCCAATTCATCAACTAACTCTTCAGACATGGTTACTTTACTTAGAGAAATGGTGGTATGAGCAATACTATCTGACGATGTAGATTCTAATGTCTCCTTTTCTGTTTTCATCACAGCTACATATTCACCGGTTGTCGTCTGAACTACATTGGGATGTTGCATTGGTGTAACTGACTGTGTCGTTGCACTCATTTTTTCTTCTACTATAGAGTCACTAGTTGTTGCTAAATCAATTGGTTTTACAGATTGTGCGTCCACATCAGTTTTAATTGGCATCGGTGTTGTTAGCTTAGCTTCAATAACTTCAACAATTGGTGTCGATTTTTCAGCCTCTGTTTTCAAAAGATGTACTTCTACTGTTGTATCTGGTTTTATTGTGGTGAGTTCTTTATCCATTATATCAATGTTTTCCGGAGGCTGTGTTTTGTCGTCTTTGATTGATTTGCCATCTGTTAAATGCTTCTGTGTAAATCCATCAATAACATCTGCTTCTGGTGTGGGTTTGTGCTCTTTACTTGGAATTGGTGTTGGTTTAAATGTGCTTATAAAACCTGATACTTTATCTGATGTTACCTTTCCTTCAATTCCAGAACCAATTCCAACAACTTGACCTTCTGATACAACATCAGTGAGTTGCGGTGCAGTAGAAGCATTGACTAACTCTTGAGACATGGTTACTTTGCTTAAAGAAATGGTGGTATGCATCACAGCTACACGTTCACCGGTTGTCGTCTGAACTACGTCGGGTTGTTGCATTGGTGTAATTGATTGTGTCGTTGCACTCATTTTTCCTCCTTCTACTATAGGGTCACTAGTCGTTGTTAAATCAATTGGTTTTACAGATGGAGAAACAGATTGTTCATCCAGATCAGTTTTAATTGGCATTGGTGTTGTATGCTTAGCTTGAATAACTTCAACAATCGGTGTTGATTTTTCTGCCATTTTTCTAGTTGTCTGATGTACTTCTACTGTTGTCTCTGGTATTATTGTGGAGAGTTCTTTATCCATTATATCAATGTTTTCTGGAGCCTGTGTTTTGTCGTCTTTAATTGATTTGCCATCTGTTAAATGCTTTTGTGTAAATCCATCAATAACATCTGTTTCTGGTGTTGGTTTGTGCTCTTTACTTGGAATTGGTGTTGGTTTAAATGTGCTTATAAAACCTGATACTTTATCTGATGTTACCTTTCCGTCAATTCCAGAACCAATTTCAACAACTTGTCCTTCTGATACAATATCAGTGAGTTGCAGTGTAGTAGAAGCATTGACTAACTCTTGCGACATGGTTACTTTGCTTAAGGAAATGGTGGTATGAGCAATACTATCTGACGTCGTCAATTCCAATGTCTCTTTATCTGTTTTCATCACAGCTACAGGTTCACCGGTTATCGTCTGAAGTACGTCGGGTTGTTGCACTGGTGTAATTGATTGTGTCGTTGCACTCATTTTTCCTCCTTCTACTATATGGTCACTAGTCGTTGTTAAATCAATTGGTTTTACAGATGGAGAAACAGATTGTTCATCCAAATCAGTTTTAATTGGCATTGGTGTTGTTTTCTTAGCTTCAATAACTTCAACAATCGGTGTTGATT